CAGCAGTAAATCTTTAGGCTGTCAGCGGATCAGCCTCTACAAATTCAGCACAGTGCCTAAAAGTACAAAGCAACAAAGCATCTGCAGAGCAGTGTGAGACAGTGTATTACTAGATTTTAAACAGTATTGGCACTTATTGTTCTGTCTCTCCAATCTAAGGCTGGCCATACACTATACAATTTTCTAAACAATTTCTGCCCAATTTCCTTTACATTTACCTTCAACTATGTAGTGTAAGGGCCTGCCTAATTGGATACAATTGAAAGTATTGTTAGGTTTGACCTCATATTATATAGTTTTGGGTAAATCTAAACCAGAAATCTCAAGAAAATTGGATAATCTATGGCCAGCCTAAGCATTGAAAGTGTGATCTCTGTAACTTACAGTTGTGATGAGATATCAATAACTCCAATCTCAGTTGGATATCACAGTCAGTGACTCAATCGAGATGATATCTTGTAGATCTTGTGAAGTTTATTCCATAACCTGAAAGGAACTTACAACAATGAACATCTGATAGGTCAAAAGATAATAATGTGTCCTGCTTCATGACATGAGGCTAGATTTGCAATGCATTTCTGGGAAAGGGGGAGGGCTATCTCTACAGCATTAACTAAACCAAAGGAAAGGGAGGAGCAGAGACAAAATATAGAAAACACTTAAAGGCATATGACAGTCATGTGAAACATGACACTTATGTTTAATGTATACCTGCAAAAGAAGGGTTGATGTGGGCATATCTGCAGTGCTGGATTAGAGGCCCCCATACCTGGAAACTGGAGCAGCGAGGGACTGGATAGTAGACTTTGGTGATTAGACCTCGCTGCACAGCACAGATATCCATTTACATGAAGGAACCCTTCCTAGATGTTCTCCATCCATTCCTCTATCTTAGCAATTACATTTATATGATGTGTGGAGACTGTATAATAGATTTCATCTGTACTCCGCTTATATAATGCAGGGCTCAGATTTCTTTTATGCTTTATGCAGGGGAAATCCCTGACACATACTGCAATGGTTTGCATTGCTAATAATTTATAATAGAACTGCTCATCTCAGACACAATTGGCATGCACAGAAGAATATGGCTGTTCTCAATGTATTCACTGAAATACACAGTATAACAATCATATAAAAAGTGTGTCCCAGAGCTATGAGCTCAGATAGTGTAGCGTTGTTGCGCACACTCTGTAGAGCAGCCTTGCTGAGGTGGGTTGCTGTAGCCCAGTGGTGGGCAACCTTTTTTTTCAACTGAGCCAAATCTCGCCAAAACCACGATTGAAATTTATTTTGAGAGCCACATTTTTAAAACTGAAAATACATCCCCCATATAGTAATTCATCCCCCATAGTAATTCATCCCCCATAGTAATTCATCCCCCATATAGTAATTCATCCCCCATATAGTAATTCATCCCCCATATAGTAATTCATCCCCCATAGTATATTCATCCCCCATATAGTAATTCATCCCCCATAGTAATTCATCCCCCCTCATCCCCCCTAGTAATTCATCCCCCATATAGTAATTCATCCCCCATAGTAATTAATCCCCCATACAGTAATTCATCCCCCATATAGTAATTCATCCCCCATAGTAATTCATCCCCCCATATAGTAATTCATCCCCCATATAGTAATTCATCCCCCATATAGTAATTCATCCCCCCATCCCCCATATAGTAATTCATCCCCCCTATAGTAATTCATCCCCCATATAGTAATTCATCCCCCATAGTAATTAATCCCCCATACAGTAATTCATCCCCCATATAGTAATTCATCCCCCATAGTAATTCATCCCCCATATAGTAATTCATCCCCCATAGTAATTCATCCCCCATATAGTAATTCATCCCCCATATAGTAATTCATCCCCCATAGTAATTCATCCCCCCTATAGTAATTCATCCCCCATATAGTAATTCATTCCCCATATTGTATCAATTCACTTACCTTTGCTCCGCGCATTCCTCTCGCCGTGTTCCCGCACCGTTCCGGTCTTCAGGGCGGACTGTGAGAGGAGAGGAGTTCGTCACGCTGCCCCGCCTACATCCTGCCAGCCAATGTTTGCCACGCTCCGCGGGCCGGATTAAAAGGTCCGCCGGGCCGTAGTTTGTCCATTGCTGGGCTAGCTGCAGAGTCCTGACTTTTGGGGCGGCCGCCCGAGAGGAGGGAGGGGAGCGGGCGCCCAGCACACATAAGAGCCGCATTGAAGTGTGTAAAGAGCCGAATGTGGCTTGTGAGCCGCGGCTTGCCGACCACTGCTCTAGCCTGACCAGCTGGAGAGTGTGCTGGGGCATTTCTTGTATTTTTTTTTTATATGTTTCTACCCTATCACTGACTTCTTTTAGTCCATATGCTCATTGTGCATCCTGAAAAAGCAAATTGTGAGGTTGTTTCTCATAACTGCCAGTTATTTTGTAATTCTCAGTAACCAGTTTTATTCAGGCACTGCATACACATGAGGTCTAATGTTTGTCTCCTTCTCTGCAGGCTAAAAGTGCAGGTCAACAGTCAGCCCTGGTTCACACTGATGCGGTGCGGAATTTGCAGCATTTTCTGTGCAAATTCTCCACCGCATCAGAATCGCTCCCCATTCATGAGAACTGCTGTGGGTGTGTATGTTAAGTTAACAACAGGCCGAAAGTGGTCCCACAAAACGCGGTGCGATGTGCAGAATTGGATCACATAGGTGTGAATACCTATGCGATTCGATTCTAGTTCTGACCAAAAAAAGGGTCCTGCATGTTTTTGGTGCTGGCACGGTGCGATTAGAGCCATACAAAATGTATGGCTCCAATCACACTGCACACAAATCGCATGTGATTTGCACAGGAATGAGGTGCGGTTCCCATATGAATCACATGCGATATACCGCACAGCATATATGTGAACCCAGGCTTAGAAGAAGAGATACAGTCTGAGGGGAGAATCCAATACTGTGAGTTTAGGAACAGTCAGTGACAATGCAAGCACCAAAGCCATGGCTGTATCCAGTCCTGCATCCCGCTGGACAGGTCTTTTCATAGATGGTGGTTGCATTGAAGGGGCTAATAGTCTGCTTATGATGCTTTACAAACAGCTGATGTGACTGACACCAATATGGTATACAATGAAAGGAGCCATTTTGTAAATCGTTATATTGTACACAGTTGCCTCATCTTAAAAGATAAATTCATCTCACCCCACTAGCTGACTAAATTGAAAAAAAAAAATATGGCTTTGCAGGACTCAGTCACAGTATTCTGTGAATGGAAAACTACAAGTTCTGACAGTCTTTGCAGCTGTCCGCTTGTAGCTCTTAATAAACTACCATGGCACTGTTGAGCACTATGGTAGTTAACTGATTTTTCCTGTCAGTGAGTATCTGCTTGCCCGTACAAGGTACAAGCAGACCAATTACACTGATAGGTCTGCAGAAGCCCTGCATGGCACCAGCGATCTACGGCACCACGTGTTTCTGCCCACATTTTCAGAAATGCGGCAATACGTGCATTATCTCTTAATGGCACCCTAAATGTGTCCCCAAACTCCCCTGGCTCAGCGCCAGACGTTTTGTGTGTTTGTGGCACATAGGGCAGCCCATTCAGTTGATATACAGTTGAATGGGCTGCCCTATGCATGACACAGAAACACGCAAAACAAACTGAGCAGGAACGAGCATTTCCACTACGCTAGGTGTGAATGGGGTGTTATTACTATTCCTCTATTCCTTACTATTCCTATTCCTTTAAGAGCAGTTATCTAATAAATGCATCATGGTGAGATCAACACAGTCGAAATACAGTATATGCACCAAGTGACTTTGATAACTGTGAACTGATCTAGCTGGTTTGGGGGACTTTGTTGACAGTCTCATGTCATAAAGCCCACCTTTTTGGATAGTTTTTAGAATGGTTTCTCTGCTTTCTGTGTCCCCATCACGGAGATTTTCCTAATTTCCTGTCACCAAGGACCCAATAGGAATTAAGTGAAAATCTTCCCAAAATGAGGAGAAACACCACCTCTTTTCACAGTATAAAGGGTTCCTATTGGAGGATTTCCCTTTTCTGTGACAGTAGTGCTAAGGTGAAATAATGAGGTTGGGTCTGCGTATTGGGAACACGGAGAGCAATAAAGTTCAGACAAAGGTTCAGACTTTTCTACAATCTTTCCAAAACTAGAAAATAAAGTATTGGTCAGACTTATTCTTTAAGCCTGCTGTTTGACCAAAACTGCTCATGTGTTACAGGGAAAGTAACAGCATGGAAGCAGGGGTGTATTTATTGCAAGGCAAACAAGGCATTTGCATAGGGTGGCATTTTACAGGGGGGCAGCACCCTCCAAGGAATAAGGGACATATGTGGCATGGTGACATGTGGGATCCAAAAGAGGCTGAGGGCTGCTTGATGGTGTATGCAGAGCCCGCCTCTTGTTCTCTGGAGATGTACGAAGCTGTGAAGGTGAGTGTCTTTCTCTAGGGTGGGAGGGAGCAGGGATGTTGTTGGTCACTGTCAGGCTCTCTCCAGGATGGGGGGGTGTTGGTGTCAGGCTTTCTCTGCCAGGGGGGGTTATCTGATTGTTGTTTTGCCTAGGGCAGCAAAAAACCTAAATACACCACTGCATGGAAGTACAAGTGGATATCGGGTCTAAACCAGCCAAATTCAGGTACCATAGTGGCAGCAGCAGTGTCGATGATGGCAGAGCTCCCAGTCACAATAATGTGAGCGCATCTGCAGCCTTCCAAGCTGAGAGCAAATGCAGCGCCACCAAATGGTTCAAATTTACAACACCCAGCAAAAGATGCATAGGCAAGCTGAGAAAGAAGATCAGTACCACAATAAATGAGACAAGTGAGAACATGGATGCTCAGCTCCTGAAGCAGCAAAGCACCCATTCCAGTGAATTTCACTCTCCTTCTCTCATTGACAGCTTACCGTCTGTGGCGGACTCTCACTCCAGCCATTTCTCAGAGTTCAGCTACTCCAACATGGACAGCATGAAAACGTCTTGCAGCCAGGGGCGGACTGATAATTTGGAAACTCGGGCACTGCCCGAGGGCCCGGGGTCAGTAGGGGGCCCCATGAGATGCCTCTGGTACCTTTTTCATAGGCTTTTTTGAGTTTGGCAAGGACACAGGGGCCCCATGATCCCATATTGCCCGGGGGCCCCATGAGTTGTCAGTCTACCCCTGCTTGCAGCTACAGGTCCAATGAGTACCATACTCGCTTTGTGACTGTGAGCCCACACCCCAATGGGAAAATGACCAGCTGGAGAATTCCCTCCAGCCAAGTGGCATTTCCATTACCATCCCTGTACCATGCACAAATGTCCCACATCTGAGTTATAGAGCAGAGGAAGGTGTCAGTCAGAGCATACCAAACTTGGTGGAGGAACGAGAGATGGACAGAGAAAGTGATTCAAATTAGAAGGAAACTGCAATCCAGACTGACATATAGACCTATTACTGTAGCTCTACCCTCTACCACTAACCAGTTCTGCTCACATGGAAAGCTTTGCTAAAATGCTGGGTAACTGCTTAGGAAAACACATTAATAAAGAGGATGGAAAACCTTATACTTTTAATGTTCATTCTTAGAATCTAGCCAGCAAAAGGCACGTCTGTGGCTAATAGCCGCCATTCCTGAAGAAGGTAACAGTTTCCTCAACTTTTAGTGCTTTGTTATGAGAGTCTGTAGACTTCGGTCACCCGACAGTTGGCAAGGTTATATTCAGGGCAGGGGGAATATTTTGACTGCATGTCAGACATTTTTGTGAAATGATTTTGCTATTCAGTTTAAATAAACAAGGTTAGAATCACAGTCACTAGTTGTTCTGGGTTAAAGTTCATTCCCAGTTTTGGAGGTTGAGGAAAATTTAGTTTTGCAGACAGGAGTACTTTTGCATTAATATTAAAGTCATGATTTTAGCAAAGGGTTTTTTTTTCACTTTTATGATAATTTATTTTCTTTATTTTTTGCACAAACAGTAACTGGTACATTTTGACTAGAAGTAAGAAAAATTTATTTTTTTCCCTTGTCATTGATTATTGATACAGAACATAAAATGGCGCCCACATGACACTAGTTACATAGTTATCATGGCTGGATAAAGACAAAAGTCCATCCAGTTCAACCATTAAAACCAGTCACTCTGAGGTCAGCGTCACCTTTCTGTTAGGGAGCAGACCACCCTCTGTTAATGGTTTTGGTGCCTTCAGCAAAGACTGGATGTTAAGTGCCTGGACATAAGGGAATTTATTTATTTTTTTCCTTTATAGTCCTCTATGGCCACCTGGGATTTGATTACTCACCCCAGGCCTATTGGTGACTGTGGTAGATAATTAGGAAAAAACAAATGTATGTAGTTAATAAAAAATGTATTTACCTACCAAGGACCTACTCAGGCTTTAGAGGAATTGTATGGACACATGTAACTCAGAAAAACACAATTTGGAGCAGAGTTCAGAGATTGCGCACACTCATTGTAACAATACATAGGGGGATGTAAACCAACATGGCAGCCACACCTGCTCCACCTACCAGAACCAGTCTAACAGTCAATGAGGTGGTCAGAGTGTCCATACTGATCATCTGTGCAATATAGTTCACTTTGACAATGCAAAATCAGTGTCAGTATAGCAACAGTGCTTAAAAGTATTGCCAAGACAGTGCTACTGGGTGGTTCTACAATGTTTCGCCATGTGCTGCAGTCCAATGATTCTACTCACCAGTTTGATCTCTTGTACACTCCTCTGCTGACCCCCTGCACACTGTCCTCGGCTCTGATAACCCACTGTACACTGTCCTACAAACTAATGACCTCTGTAGAATGCCCTATCAACTGCTGACCCTATCCTCTGCCCTGCTGGCCCCCTGTACACTGCCCTACTGACCTCACATCCTCTGCCCCCCGAGATATTTTTTTTTTACTGCACACCTACATCAGACTGTTTAGGCCCTGCTATAAAAATGGTAATTTGCAGAGCAGCCGGAGCAATTTACCGATCCAGCCATTTTGCATTACCAGCTGGCTAGGGGGCAATACAGTACATGATTCAGCACATCGCATGGCTCCCTCTTTTTTCATTTTGTTTTAAACAAACTTTATGTGAAGTATACAAAATGTACACTTCATACACTGCTGTGTTGGGCACGTGATGCACTGTGCTGCTGGACATTGCAGTGTGATTTGCTTCTCTGTCATTGGTTTTATGGCATGGTTGTTGGAGCCCAGGATTTAAGAGACAGGGGCATCTCAGAGTAGGTAACTTAAGGCTAGGAAGTGCACTTCCTACCAGGGCTCTCATCAGACTTGAAAGTTTTACTTCACTTGTATGGGTCCAAGGGTTTTCACCAAAGGAGCTTCTTCGTGGAACTGATCCTCTCTTTCCTACAGTTAGGTCTGGACCAACTTATGGCTGTCAGAACTTTCTAAGGTCAAGTCTTTGCTCTTTCCTTTCAGTTTCAGAGATTGCTGAGATCTCACTTTTTCTTTTTTCAGGGGTCTCCCTTGTGGTTCCCTTGTTTAAACCTGTTAGAGACAGCCCTTTACTTTCACCCACAAGGATGCTTTCCTTGCAACTATAACCTCTGTAAGTTAAATGGCTAAACTGGTGGCTTTATTTTGCATAGAAACGTTTTGGGTTTTGCAAAAGGATATGGTGGTGATGAGGGCCAGGACTTCCTTCTTGACTAAGGTAGTCTCTGCCTTTCACCTTAACAGGACATTATTTTCCCATTCCTTTGTCTAGGCTCCTGTTCATCAGAAGAAATTTACCCTTCATTGTCTGGATGTGGCTTGGGCTGTGCAAGTTTACCGCTCAGCCACTATATAGAATCCAACACCAGGGTAAACCCCAAATACCACAAATAGTGCCACTCTGTTTACCCTTAGCCCGAACCAGTAACCACCAATTTGTGCACAACACTAAGGGGACCCACCACCTCATGGCTCATGCACCTTACCAAATTTCTTCAAGTTATAGCCTTTAATATAAACAATCACTGCAACGATTCTGACTGCCATCACTCTTGCCAATACTACATTTCCATGTTGGTAAATATAATCAAAGCAAAGTAAGCAACCATAGTGTATCAAACCAGAGCGCCCACTAAGTGTAACATTAAAATAATCCACTTTATTAAAATACAATTGGCATGCATATCTCCATAGGAACACTGATATTCCCAGTGATGTCTCGCCTTGCTTCTGCAGCCACCAGGCTAGAAGGCTCAAGACTGCTGAAGACTGAAACAGGAAGTATCAGTAACCATCTTGGAGTGCACAGAGGAGAATTGATGTCACATGGGTTGTCCTGTGGGCTTGGGTACATGTTTCAGAGCTTCTTGCTCTTTCCTCAGGCCAAATGGATGTGGATAATTTTAATGCTACATACAGAGCGCCCCTTTCTCCCTGTTTGTTTTCATCATCATCATCATCATCATCATCATTATTATTCATTATTCAAGATTTATATAGCGCCAACAGTTTACACAGCGCTTTACAACATAAGGACAGACAGTACAATCACAATACAAATTAATATAGGAGGATTCACAGAGCCCTGTTTGTTAGAGCCTACAATCTCAGAGGGAGGGTCGAGAGATACAAAAGGTAATAACTGAGGGGGATGGGCTGATGGACAAAATACATGCACACTTGTTAGGTGGGGGACAGGATAGGCCTCTCTGAAGAGATGAGTTTTCAGGGATTGTCTAAAAGTGGACAGAGATGGAGATAGTCGGACACATTGGGGAAGGGAGTTCTAGAGGATGGGAGCTGCTCTGGAGAAGTCCTAGAGGCGTGCATGGGAGGAGTTGACAAGGGAGCTAGAGAGCAGGAGGTCTTGGGAGGAATGAAGAGAATGATTTGGTTGGTATTTTGAGAACAGGTTAGTGAACTAACTAGGGGCTGAGTTGTGGATAGTTTTAGAAGTTGTTGTACTGTAAGTATCTCACATTTTTTTTGTTGGGTGAGCTGCAGCCAGTGGAGGGACTGGCAAAGAAGGATGGCAGACAATGAACAGTTGGTAAGGTGGATGAGTCTGGCAGCAAGCATTCATGATGGACTGGAGGGGGCATAGCCTATGCAAAAATAATCTAGCGAGGAGGGAGTTGCAGTAGTCAAGGCGAGAGATGACCAGAGAGTGAGTTAGAAGCTTTGTGGTGTAATTGGTTAGGAAGGGGCATATCTTGGAGATGTTGCAGAGGTTGAGGCAGCAAGCTTTGAACAGTGATTAGATACGGGCCAAAAGGATAGTTCATAGTCCAGGATTTCACCTAGCATCCTGGCATGTGTGGATGAGTTGACGGCTGAGCTGTTAATTTTGACAGAGAAGTCAATGGAAGGGGCACGTGGGGGAAGAAATATTATGAGCTCAGTTTTGGATAGATTAATTTTCAGGAACTGGTGTGACATCTAGGCTGATATGTCTGTTAGTAGGTTAGTGATGGTAAGGAGACTAATGGAGTGAGCTGAGGGGTAGAGAGATAGATGTGGGTGTCATCAGCATAGAAATGGTGCTGAAAGTCATGGGAGGCAATCAACTTACCCAGAGAGGAGGTGTAGATTGAGAATAGGAGGGGTCCCAGAACAGAGCCTTGGGGAACCCCAATGGAGAAAGAAAGAGGAAGTAGAATTGTAATTGACACTGAAGGTGCAGTGGCATAGGTAGGATGAGAACCAACGAAGATCACAGTCATGGAGACCAAAGGAGTATAGTTTTTTGAGGAGGACAGAGTGGTCCACTGTGTCAAAGGCAGCAGAGAGGTCCAAGAGTAGGAGTACAGAATAGTGTCCATTGGTTTTAGCCATTAATAGATCATTTGTAAGTTTGAGGAGAGCAGTTTCCATGGAGTGCTGAGAGTGAAATCCAGATTGAAGGGTATCAAGAAGGTTATTCTCAATGAGGTGGTTGCCCAGCTGGTTGTAGACCAGGTGTTCAAGGAATTTGGAAGAAAAGGGGAGTAAGGAGATGGGTCATAGGTTGTTAAGATTGGTGGGGTCTAGTGAGGGTATGGGGTGACTACTGCGTGTTTTAGAGAATTGGGGAAGATGCTGGAAGAGAAGGAGAGATTGAATATGTGAGTTAGAGAGTGTAGGATAGAGTCAGAGGCTGACTGTGGCACTTGTGATGGAACAGGGTCCAGGGGGCACATGGTTAGGTGGGCATTAGAAAAAAGTTTAGCAACCTCGTTCATAGTAGTGGGGTTGA